AGAAGCACCTGCCTTTACATCAGAGGCACCATGCAAAAGAAGATTCTCTATAAGTAAGCACAACAAACTAGGTTCCTGGACTACATTCTCGATTGCACACTATTCTTCGGTTCTGTAGTAACTGCATCCACCCTATACAAATCTGCAAGACTCCGTCCTATGCACATAAGCGGCTTCATGTCCTTAGTTGAACTAGTTAATGCTGCACTCACTTGTACAAACCAAAAATCTGCTTCACATGACAGGTCTGCAGCAGCAATCAGTGGGCTCTCAGCAATGCCAAAGATTATGCCAAGTAACAATGACTTTTTTGTGTGTGCATAATGTATTAAACTCTCAAAATTAACTGCATGAGCACACACACGTACAAATGTATCTATTGCTCAACTCCTAATACACATGTCATTATTAAAAAGTTATTTTAAACATTTGCACATATCTAGCTGTTATTTATTCATATTTTTATTAGATTTTTTAGCCACCGCTCACCTGAAGACTCTCGTGGCAACTTCCAACATAAAAACAAATATAAAATATTAACATTAAAATATTAAAATATGTGGCTACCCCATCCCACAGGGTAGGGTCCACAACAGAGAAGGCCCTTCCCCTGGTGACACCTAAGCAAGCCATCCCGGGGCCAGGCACATGCAAGAGGCTCCTAGGCAATGACCAATGAGAGTGCGAGTGCAAGGGGGTTCTAACACAAGAGGCAATCCCGTAGGTATGAGGGTCCCAGACCACTGAGGGCTTAAAGGTTCACACCAACACCTTGAATTGGATCCAGAGACTAACCAATGCAACTGCTGCAGAATTGGGGCAATATGAGCTAACCATGATGTTCCAGTCAGCAACCTGGCAGCTACATTCTGGACCACCTGCAGTTTCTGAAGCATTTTCAAGGGTAGCTATACATAGAGCAAACTGCAGTAGTCCAATCTGGAGGTGACCATTGCATAGATCAATGTGGCAAGGGCTGACCCAGACAAATAAGGAGCCAGCTGATGGGCCTGGCATAGGTGAAAAAACACTGACAGTGCTACCATGGACACTTGTTTATCTAATGATAGCACAGAATAAAACCACACCGGAGGATATTTACAGAGTCTACAGCTGTCAACTATACACCATCGAGTCTCAGGAGTGACCCTCCAGCTAGCATTTCAGTCTTTCCCAGCCACATGACCTCCATCTTGAATGGATTCAACTTGAGCCGGCTCCCCCTTAACCATTAGACTACTGCATCCAGGCACTGGTATAGTGCCAAGAGCCCTGCCGCTGGCTGCTTATCCAGCAGGAGAAACAGCTGGGTGTCATCAGCATATTGATGGCACCCAACTCCAAACCTCCTGACGATCTCAGCAAGAGGGTGCATATATGTGTTATATAGTATCGGAGAGGCAATCAACCCTGTGGGACCCCTACAATTCAGATCTCGTCAAGAAGACCTCTACTCTATGATAGCAACCCTCTGAGATCATCCCTGGAGGAATACGGGGAACCAACAAAGGGCAGTGCCCCTTACCCCCAGGGATCAAGACCAAATGGTCAACTGTATCGGAGGCTGCTGATAGATCCAGAAAGATCAATGGGGCAGGCATGCATTTATCCAGATGTAAATTGAGATCATCAACCAAAGTGACCAGTGCTGTATTGGTCCCAAAGCCAGGCCTTAAGACTGACTGAAAAAGGTCCAGGGCAGATGTCTCACCCAGGAAAACCTGTTCTGCCTCACATTTACTATGCTCCATATACCTTCGTGTCTCTCCAGGCTCAGGGGGGGAAAAGTCCAAGTGTTGCACTGTCTTATAGCTTATCTTAGCTTCAGCCAAGTGTTGCACTGTCTTATATATGTCTTATATATGTTTTAATAATTACTACCTTCTGAGGCGACAAAATCCTTTGCCTGAACTTCTCCACTGTGTCTGACCCTGCAGCAGCCCACGTAGTGGCAAACACTTCGGCTTTATCATGATCCACATGGGAATGCTCCAGCTGCTGCTGCAGAATAGTTGGTTTCAAGTTGTGATATACAGCCTGAGAAAGCAAATACATAATAATACAATTTTGTAAATGCCACTTTAAACAAACTCCAGAAGAGCACACCAAGAGATGATGAACATATATTATTCATGGTGCAAATACGAAGTTAGCAAGCTTTTTTTGCTCAGCGGCAAATTCCCTTCCCTACTACCGCATTCTACAGGGTTTTCATTCATGAAAGTCACATCACCTACAGCATAGCCTTTTTGGTGGTCAAAGGGGATAACCGCCTCCTGTTTTCACCAGTGAAAGAGCTGATTGGATCCAGACCATTGTACATACAGCCAACATAGACCAACCACCACCTGCACATTTACAATACCGACAGAAGCCCTAGCTTGGAGAAGGGTTGCTTTTCTTTCCCAGTAGGAAATGTCTGGACCCAGTGCACCTGTTGTGCTGTAAAATGACTGTCTAATAAGGCTCTTGAATGTGGTCAAAGACTCATCATGTAGCGACCTTGCTGAAGCTAATCAAGCCTGGATCTGGCCAGTGTCGGGGTGGGGATGCTCAAAGGAACTAAACAGATACCACCGTGCCTTCCACAGAAAAGAGGTGGTATATAAATGCAATAAATACACGTATCTATAGAACTTACATAGCAATTTTCAGTCAACTTTCAAGGCAGTTAACAACATGAAAATGAACCCCTTCTATAATATAAATACCATAAAAACAAAACTGAAACTATATAAACCATTCAAGAACAATACAGCGACAGAGCAATTTTCCACAACAAACAAAATTGCAGGCAAAACAAATGGTTAGTATCTCAAGACCTGGTCAGCAAGAATACTTTAGTCTGCCTCAAAAAGGAGGCAAATGATGGAATGACACATCTCCAGGGGGAAAGTGTTGCAGAACAAGGTTTTTAAAAATTGATTTTAAATTTTGAACAACTCATGTAACTCCATTTTGTGCTCAGGCACAGGAACCATGGTCTCCTATTCAGGTGTGTAAATGTGGGATTTCCTTTGTCTACACTTGCGGCAGGCACCTATAATTCCTTTCGCTTTTCTATGCTATGCTAATAAGACACCATTAGAAAAGTTTCTGGGAGCATCCCTGCCACAGATCACAGAGGCTGCTGATTCAATTTCACTTTCATCTGCATCAGGGTTGAGAATTTTATTTGTATATCCTCCTCTCATTGGAAGACTGAGCAACTGTCATTCTTTATCTTATTGGATAAGGGGGCTTTTAATTCACCCAAGAAAAGCTACCCAGGGCTTTCAAAGTGCATTGTTGGCAGCTCTTGGGAAGATTAGTTAAAAGTAGGTTTATACCTGCATTCAGACTACCTTAGAATTCCTTCATTTCTGACTGGACATTGTTCTAAGAGCCTAATTACACAATACATTGTCCATGCTGGGTTTCAATGACCAAATGTACAACACGAGTTGCATGCTGAACTTAATTTCCAGGTATATAGAGACTTAATTCAGATGAGAACCATGGTGTGCAGATAGAGAGGATTTAAACCTTCTCCTCAGTGTTATTTTTGTGACCCAAACAATCCCAAGGTTCCACGATTTTCCCTATTGGGGAAACTTACCTGTATTGATTAGGTCTTGTTACTCTGCCATGACCTCCCCAACACAGTTGAGACAGTAAGGGAACTCGAGGCTCCATGCACGCCTTCTTGTCAGATTTTGGATCATTCCAGTCCACTCAGCCTAGAGGAGGTTGACAAACTACTCTAAACTGTATGCCCAACCACTTGCAGCCTTGATCTGTGCCCATCGTGGCTAATTAAAGCTGGCCACGATAGGCTACGAGGTACCCTAAGGGAAATCATCAACAAGTCCCTCCCTATCTGAGGGACTGTTCCCTAGGGCGCTCAAGGAGGCAGTGGTACGCCCTCTCCTAAAAAAAAAAAAATCCCTGGATCCAGCCGAATTGGCTAATTACCGGCCGGTTTCCAATTTGCCCTATTTGGGCACACTAACTGAAAGGGCGGTGGCAACTCAGTTGCAGGGTTTTTTGGATGACACCTCCACATTAGATCCCTTCCAGTCCAGCTTCCATCCAGACCAAGGGACAGAGATGGCACTGGTCGCTCTCATGGACAACCTCCAGAGGCACCTGGATCAGGGCGGTTCGGCGGTGTTGCTGTTGTTGGACCTGTCGGCGGCGTTTGACACAGTTGACCACCAACTACTGACCCACTGCCTCGCTGACACTGGGATGCAGGGGTCTGCCTTGCAGTGGCTCTCCTCATTCCTTCAGGGTCAGGGACAAAGGGTGGCTTTAGAGGAACAGCTGTCCCGAAGGCACCAGCTAGTCTGCGGAGTGCCCCAAGGGGCGGGGTACTTTTCCCGATGCTATTTAACATTTATATGCGCCCCCTTGCCCAGATTTCCCAGAGGCATGGGCTGGGATGTCACCAATATGTGGACGACATCCAGCTCTATCTGTTTTTGGGCAGCCAGTCTGACTCTAGTCCAGAAGATCTGGACCTGGCGTTGCAAGCTTTGGCTGGTTGGCTTAGACTGAGCCGACTGAAATTGAATCTGACGAAGACGAAGGTCCTGTGCGTGAGTTGAGTGGTCTGAGGATAGGGATCCCACTTCCAATCTTCGATGGGGCACCACTGGTGCCAGTGCCAGAGGTTCGGAGTTTGGGAGTACTCTTGGATGCCTCCCTAACAATGGAGGCCCTGGTAGCAGCCACTGTGAAGTCAGCCTTCTATCCTCTTCAGCTGATTAGGCAGTTGGTTCCCTTCCTTGAATGCAATCACTTGGCGACAGTGATCCATGTGATGATCACCTCAAGATTAGATTACTGTAATGCTCTCTACATGGGGCTGCCATTGTCCCAAATCTGGAAGCTGCAGCTGGTGCAGAATGCGGCGGCCAGGCTGTTATTGGGCCTTCCCATGCAGGAACACATTCAGCCTGCACTAAAAGCACTGCACTGGATGCCCATAGCATACCAAATTTGCTCCAAGGTGCTGGTTCTCACCTTTGAAGCCCTTTATGGTCACGGGCCTACATACCTGAGGGACCACCTTTCCCTGCATGTTCCCTAGAGAGCATTACGATCAGAGTCCCAAAATCACTTGGCCCTTCCAGGTCCCAGAGTAGCCAGGTTGGCTTCAACAAGGGCCAGGGCCTTCTCAGTGGCAGCCCCGTACTGGTGGAATAAGCTCTTGGAAGACATCAGGGCCCTGTGGGACCTATTACAGTTCCACAGGACCTGTAAGACAGAGCTCTTCCACCAGGTCTTCGATTAGTGAGCTGCACCTAACAAATTAAGGCCCTGGCCCAACACTAACACTAATACTATCATCAACAGCATGTGTTCCGCCAATACGACTCAGACTGAGATACCATCCGAATGTACCCTTTTATTATTTGATGCTACTAATGCCTCGCCACCGCTACATGATTTGTACTAGCACTTTATATCGTGTTTTTATATTATATTATATTGATTCTTTGTTTTATCTGTTTTGTTTGATAAATTTTATGTAAGCCATCCTGAGCCTGCTTCGGCAGGGAGGGCGGGATATAAATTAAATAAATAAATATAAATAAATAAATAAATAAATTTTTCCAGCAGGGCAAATAGCAGCTCCCTGGGACAGTTTGCAGACTGTAAAACAGGGATTAGAACACTTAAGCCTCCCCCATTCACCAGGGAATTATGTCTCAACATAGAACTCCTGGCACACACCTGGTCAATAGTAACTGGGGTAGACCCACAAACAATACATCATGTGAGGCCCTGAGGAGGTATGATCAACTCAATTTTGGAAATAGCTTAAACAGGAGGACTCTGGTAACTCAAATTAAATCTTTTCCAATATCTGGCTTAAACTTCTGGCAACATTCAGTTTGGAAACCATTTTTTAAAATGCTCTAAATGCCACAAACTCTATTTCCCTTTTTTAAAAAATACATTACATTTTTTAAAAACATATTACATTATTAAACATTAACATTATAACAACGTCCATGTGGGATCACCTTCTGCTTTGGTTACATTATCTGGTCTGCCTTCCAGATAAAATTGAGGTTTCGTTTGATCCTTGCACCAAAGTCTCTTCTAAAATATTCAGGCATCTGATAGCCAAGGTCTAATAAGGTTTTTATCAGTTTGACTTATGGCTGGGGCAGAAGATGAGCTGATAATGTAGGACAGGAATTCAAGCCAGAAAAACTCTGTATATCCTCAGAAGACTGGTTTCCACAGAAGGCATTCCACAGAGCTGCAACAACTACTAAGAAACCCCTACTCCTCACAAAAGCCAACCTTAAAGTGCAAACCAGCATTCCAACATTACTCAGAATGACTTAATTCTGAACAGAAAAGCTTAGGATCAGACTGTAGGACTTACTGTAAAGTAAGAATTGCTGCATATTGTTCAGAATGCAGGTATAGTATTTCTTCTTTGTTCAGTCCAGTTACCTTTATTGGCATGTAACCCTTGACAACCCATATACAAAAAAACCAACAACCACAGCATAGAATAATACTTGCAAAATACAGAAACAAGGAATTACCAAGTAAGTATACCCATCACTTAAATAAAGGGCGAATAGAAATGGCACCAAAAAGAAATTTAGCAACAGTTTCTGTTATCTCAAGGTTTGGATTATCAAGAAGAATAAGGATCTTTAAGCAATCAGGATATTCTTCTAATTGAGCCAAAATAAAATTTAGAAATTTCAGTCGGAGTGCATGGTAGAAGGGGCACTGCAACAAGACATGGGAAATTGTTTCAATATTATCATTTGTGCATGGACAACATCTGTCAGAAAAGGGCACACCCTGAAAGCAGCCAGATAATAAGGCCGAAGGTAATACATTGAATCTCACCAAGGAGAGGGCTCTATGGAGTTTGGGGGTGTGAAGTTGGTACAGGTAAGAGGCAGTCTCCTTTGTTAATGCAGAGATGAAAAGGTACCCTACTTTATGAAAGAAAAAAAGGCCAAGGAAAGGAGGAGTTGACAAACCCAGAAACTCCATTGGCCAAAAGAGTTCTCTGGCAGCTAGAATGACAGGGGCCCTTTCTGCATCTGTATTTTGCCTCAGTTTCTGAGTGCATCCAAGTCTTCTGTTCTACATTCCAACCCGCTTTAACATCCACCTTGCTGCATTCCTTTTTCTTTCTTCTGCATTTGTTTTATGTGATTTAGCATTCAGACCGCTTCCAGCACACTGTTAGCCTGCATTTACCAAAACTGCTTTTGCTGCGCTTCTCTGTTCTGGTCCAATTTTGATACGCTAAAGCAGAATTCTTTCTGCATTATTTTAAGTGCCACCCAATGCCCTCCTCTGTTTCCTCCTCTCTCTTTGCCTTTCCTTATTTTTACATGCTGAATGGGCCCTGGTTGAACCTTGCTGGTGTTTTCCTCTGACAGGGCATCGGTGCTTCCTTGTAAAGTTTTATTTCTTTTTACAAGTAACAGAAGTTTAAGCCTTTTAGTGTTAGTTCATTTAATGAAAGAGACCTGAAAGGAAAGTAGGCAAACTGGGGGAAACCCACTCTTGAAACTGACCAGACTGTTTCGGAAACTTACAAGCAGCTGCAAAGCCGTTTTCCCTGTTACTGAGGTCTAGAGGATTCCCTGCTCCCAAATGCGTCAGCCTTGCATGTGTGTACCTGGATTTTCCCCTCCCTTCCCTTTCTTTTTCCAGGGGAGGAAGGGACTGGGTCTTCAGCTCAAAGTTCTGAAAGATGTTTGTCTTTCTCTTCCTCTTAAACAAAGCAGCCAGTTAGCTCAGTGAGTTAAGCATTGTGCTTATCACATCAAGGTTTGTCAGTTCAAGCCCAGTGGTGGGCAGTTACTGTTCGCAAAAAAAAGGTCCGTTTTTAAAAACTTAGGGATGAGTCTAATGATAGAAGTTTATCGTTAAATTCTGATCACTGGTGAAAAAAAATTACTGAACTGTGAGAGGTGTGTGTGTTCTTAGAACATCAGAGCAACTTCCTGCTTTCCTCTTAAAGGTACACTCTGTTCTCATGCCCCGTCAGAGGAAAACGCCAGTACTGTTCAACCAGGATCCTCTTCAGTTCTCCCCTCCTTCATTAATAGTTTTATTGATGGGTCTTTTTATGCTCTACACGCACAGCAGCACCAGCCGCCTCCGAGCTGGCCGGCCCCATACCTCGGGGGGGTGTCCTGGATAGGCATTTGTGTAAATCTCTTCACAGTTCCACTTACACAGCTGGCAAACTGAAGAAGTCGAAGGAAACGCATCTTCCAAATATCTAGAATGGGCGTCTTTGCAAAGGCTGTTTGGAATATGTTATGACTATGTGGACTCCTCCTATCAAGTTACACTGAGTACATGGACTTTATGTCTTATCTTCAAAGGAGGAAATATTATATCTAATGCCTTATTCCAGTTACAGTATGAAAAATGTTGTTGTTGTGACACCACCAACTTTATAATTGTTTCATATATTATTTTTGTTTTCTACTAGTGGAATTTGTATATTTGGAAGATTTCCTGTGCAGCTGGGGGACTGTGTGCTGGTGTCACCCCGGTGCCCAAAGCATGGGGGGCAGTTTTCTCCAGTTTCTCTTTCTTCTGCCTCATGGTCTCAGCTTTCTTTGTTGCTGTGGCGGTGACAGCCTCCCCAACTTGGAACTTTTCCATCTCCAACTAGACTACCCAGCTGCAGATCTCCCCCTGAGATGGGGTGGAAATACAGAAAGCATAATCTGCAGAGTGATGTTCCAAGCAGGAAGTGCCGAAGAAATCCAACATAGGAAGAATGAAAGCAAATGATCCAAATCAAAGGAATAACCACTTGAGTGCTGGGAAACTAAGGAATAAAAACAGAATGCAGAAAGGGCCAATGTTCTTGCTGGGCTATCACAGACAACACACTAAACAGTGGCAAACACCACAAGGGGCTGGCCGGTAGTTCACTGCCAAAATAACAACGAAGGACCTGGATGATTGCTTAGACTGTGCAGCACAATCCATGAGGCTGGGAAGGCTGTGGATGACCCAGAGGCTCTGACTGAAACTATGGGCTCTTGCCCCAGGACATGGAGGACTGTGGAGACAGAGAGGGTGGGAAGGCCCTGAGGCAACTGCCTTCTGGACTGTAGAATATCCATTCCCCCACTCTGGCCTCTCAATACTGTTTATACCCCAACCACCCACAATCTAATAAAAAGGGGGACATGAGCTTTAAAGACGGGATATGCTCCCTAAAGGTCTCTTATTTGGAAACATGCTAGACTAAGCCTGTACTTATATGTGAGATAAATGGAAACCCCTGCTTCTTAGATTTTTGACTTGACAGATAAGACACAGATAGAGATGAACAACAAAGGTTTATTTAACAAAAAATAAAGTATGTAATAAGGTAAATATGTGTGGATAACATATATTTAAGTTACATATTTATGTTGCTCTCAAATATATTAAGCTTGCTCTCAAATAAAGTAAATAGCCCCTGAAAGGAGAGTTGATTCCCTTTTCTTTGGATGGGTTACCTCAGATTTTTAAGGATGATTGCCACAGGACTGACAGTGGAATTAACCTATTCCATTCCTGACCTGGGGCACAATAAGGGTAACATAGAAAAGTCACAGGGCGACTGCATGCCCCTCTCTTTCAGGGGTCAGGTGACCTCAGAAGTCCACAAGGATGGTGCTTCTTAACAGGGTCTGGCTAAGCTGATCAGCCCACAGACCTTTAGAGGCCTGCAACACTTATCTATGCTTCATTTCCTACCTGCTACAGCTGAAAACTGTGCTATTTATGCACACAAGGCTGGAACCAGAAACTCTGATCTAGACTTTGGAATACAGTCCTCAAACACACTTCTGTGGCAATGATTAAAACCCTGGGGACTCTCAACAGAACCAAGCTCTGCAGATAGAGGTGTTTCGGTTGTTAACCACTAGCAAAGCTAAATGTTGCCGACTCTAGAATAAAACAGTTGCATAATCTGCAGAGTGATGTTCCAAGCATGAAGTGCCAAGGAAATCTAACATAGGAAGAATGAAAGCAAATGATTCAAATCAAAGGCATAACCACTTGAGTGCTGGGAAACTAAGGAATAAAAACAGAATGCAGAAAGGGCCAATGTTCTTGCTGGGCTATCACAGACAACACACTAAACAGTGGCAAACACCACAAGGGGCTGGCCGGTAGTTCACTGCCAAAATAACAACGAAGGACCTGGATGATTGCTTAGACTGTGCAGCACAATCCATGAGGCTGGGAAGGCTGTGGATGACCCAGAGGCTCTGACTGAAACTATGGGCTCTTGCCCCAGGACATGGAGGACTGTGGAGACAGAGAGGGTGGGAAGGCCCTGAGGCAACTGCCTTCTGGACTGTAGAATATCCATTCCCCCACTCTGGCCTCTCAATACTGTTTATACCCCAACCACCCACAATCAAATAAAAAGGGGGACATGAGCTTTAAAGACGGGATATGCTCTCTTATTTGGAAACATGCTAGACTAAGCCTGTACTTATATGTGAGATAAATGGAAACCCCTGCTTCTTAGATTTTTGACTTGACAGACAAGACACAGATAGAGATGAACAACAAAGGTTTATTTAACAAAAAATAAAGTATGTAATAAGGTAAATATGTGTGGATAACATATATTTAAGTTACATATTTATGTTGCTCTCAAATATATTAAGCTTGCTCTCAAATAAAGTAAATAGCCCCTGAAAGGAGAGTTGATTCCCTTTTCTTTGGATGGGTTACCTCAGATTTTTAAGGATGATTGCCACAGGACTGACAGTGGAATTAACCTATTCCATTCCTGACCTGGGGCACAATAAGGGTAACATAGAAAAGTCACAGGGCGACTGCATGCCCCTCTCTTTCAGGGGTCAGGTGACCTCAGAAGTCCACAAGGATGGTGCTTCTTAACAGGGTCTGGCTAAGCTGATCAGCCCACAGACCTTTAGAGGCCTGAAACACTTATCTATGCTTCATTTCCTACCTGCTACAGCTGAAAATTGTGCTATTTATGCACACAAGACTGGAACCAGAAACTCTGATCTAGACTTAGTAATGCAGTCCTCAAACAGTCCTGTGGCAATGATTAAAACCCTGGGGGCTCTCAACAGAACCAAGCTCTGCAGGTAGAGGTTTTTGGGTTGTTAACCACTAGCAAAACCAAATGTTGCCGACTCTAGAATAAAACAGTCAAACTCTAAAGAACATGGCTGAGACATTAAAATAAATGCTCCCATTGATCTTGAATATGGGTTGAAGTTATGGTAGTGTTAAAAAGATACCTGTTCCAAAATGAATGCTATGGTTTCAAGGACAAGGTGGAGGTCCTGCTTCTCCACTGAGAAGGCAATTTGAAGTTTTTCTTCCTCTTCTTCTGTGAAAGTACTTTCACCCTGAAATAAAGTTTCCATTTAACAAAAACTCAAAGTTACCTCAATAAAAGGTTACAGTCATCTGCAAATTCCAAAATAGACATACAGTCTAGTTCCAACTGCAAGACATTGGGATCAAAAAGTTCCAGGGGGGGGGGGATCTTCCATATGAAGAGTTTCAAAACTGGCATGGTGGTTGGCCCAGCGAAACATTAAGCATTTCACTAGATAAAAATACTATACATGCTAACGGAGGAGCTTTCCTGAGGAGGTTCTTTTGCATATGGATTGGCTGTTGGAATTCTAATCTTATCTGTAGTGCTATTGTAAGATGCAGAGCATTTTGTGTTTTTCAGGACAGGAAACCATGCCCTATTTATTTTTAAACTCTCTTCTTTCCTTTTGAAATTGTGTTTATGTTGATGAATTTCAATGGCTTCCTTGTGTAATCTGATATGGTAAATGGATGTGTTGTCCAGCCTTTCAGTGTCTTGGAATAAGATACTGTGTCCTGTTAGAGCTAGGCTATGTTCAGCCACTGCTGATTTTTCAGGTTGGCCCAGTCTGCAGTGTCACATTCTGGGGAACTCCTACAAGATAATGACTCAGCCCTACCCCACCTTCCTGAGTAGATATAAATTACCTGCCTACCATTTTCTTCTCATCTTGACACAGAATACTCCATCTTTCTGTATTATACCAATGAGGATGCCAGTCACAGCTGCTGGCGAAACATCAGGTCCTACAATGCCAGGACCACGGCCATACAGCCCAGAAAATATACTACAACGAATGAACTCTGGCCGTGAAAGCCTTCGACAAAAGTTTATCTTTTGTATTTCACTCCTAATGCCCTAGGCAGGGGCAAAGCAAGCTTTTCCTACTGGCCACCTGCTATAACTGCAGGCATTTCAAAACTTTTTGTTTGTTAGGTAGGTACTGTTACTTTGCTTTCTGGATTTATTTTCCTTTAAAAAAAAAAGATATGAGTGCAGTCCAACTATGATATTTCAGAATAAACGCTAAAGAGGATAATTGTTGGGTAAATCATTCACACTTATAGAAACCTTACCTAAAATTCTTATTCTGGAACAGTGAAATTAACTTTAAGATTATAATGAATTATTATAATATGAATAGTTAACTAATTTGTTTTTGTAATTAGCATAAGTGTCTAAACCCAGGGTCAACAATGCAGTGTTCATGGGTGCCATGGTAAATGACAATAACTTTCTTGGTGCCCATGAAGTGTTTTTAGAACATCCCATTAGTCACCAGGTCTAGCAGCCATTAACAGACCTATCCTCTATGAATCAATTTATTATTGTTTTAAAGCTACCTGTGATATTTGCCATCATTACATCCACTAGCAGTACATTGCAAAATTTAGTTACTCATTGTTTTAAAATGTACTGTCCTGAACTTACTGTCTGTCATCTTCACTGTGTGCCTCTCAAATTCAAGCATTATGGGGAGAACAAAAAATAGTTCTGCCATGAAAGAAAGGAAAAGAGCTATATCAAAGCCAAAAGTAAAGGAGGAGGGACTGTAAGTGCAAGTATAAAAATCTAATCCAAGTGTCTACTTATAATTTTACAGAACATAACATTTCCACTATCCAATACAAAATTTAGAATGCTTAAGACCACTGACTTTGATGTTACTGTACTGAAATTTCAAAATTAAGAACCACCATAGAACTGACATGAATGTAGCCTCTTTGCTCCATAGATAAATATGAGCTTCCTCCATTTCTGATTCTGCACACAAAATTAAAAGCGGCTTCTCCCAAATCCTACACTGCACTTTATTTATCCTCTGCCTGCACATATCTTCATAACTCAGCCAATGTGTCAAGTAGATTAACTACTGAGCTGTATACATCAATTTGTTTCCATTCAGCAGAGCCTAGACAATTCCTGTATAGAAATCAGTTAAAACAGCATCACTACATCTAGTCGGGTACTAGACAATAAGACAAGCCCTCAAAACGGGATGTACTAAAAGGAAGGACAGGATTGCCCATTGGAAACAATGGGAGACGCTGGAAGACCCATTGGAAATATTAGTGCAACATTTTTAATCCAAACGAAGGTTCTATGCAAACCTTTAAATGAAGCTTCTGAAGGATGCGGGAGAGCAGTCGAGAGAACTTGCCAGTATCTATGGTGTTAATAAAAGACACTGCTTTTCTTACACTGGAAAAGAATAGACACAGTTTCAGACTGGAGACAGGGCAGAAGTAGACAAACCTCTCTCTGTGTGTTGCTAGCTCTTTGAAAGAGAAGAGCTCAAATCTACATATAATAGGTCTAATTTTTTAATCTGCATTTTAATGCATGGATTCAAAACACCAGGCAGTAGCACTTTTGCCACTATTGTATTTCTGTATGCGGAGTATTACCATTGATAAATAGGCGCCACGGCTGACCCGACGGCTCTCACCCTCCGCGAACAATATATTGTTACGTGGCAAATTTCGCCAGGGCCATCTACATGTAGGGTGATCACAACTCATTCCGTTCAAGTGAAAGAAGAAATAGCCGTGAACTTAATTTTGAAGCGCCTGTTTCAACTCCAGGAAGAAAAGGAAACAAAGTAAGTCCCCCTACCTGGCCGTATCCGGAATAACGATGGGCGCCGCCATTTTGGCGCTGTGAATCATCCCCGGTAACTCCCATAGGCAGGAGAAGAAAGCTCTGCCCCTGAAAAGCTAAGAACCAATCCCAGATCAGGTGGGGGGCGGTCTCCATAGATATCGAGAGCCTCTCGCCTTGGCGTCCCGGTTTGAATTAGGACCTTTCTTCTAAACTGGAAGGTTGGGGTTTTTTTATTTATTTCTTTTGGTTGCGATGTCTTTATGACACAACAGCAGCCAGGAGAACTGATAGAAGGGGGTATAACTTCCACTACAGCAGTTTAAGCACTATTGAACGACCTGTCTACTGTGCGCAAGGATGGCACAGGATAGGTGTTTTTGTGTAAATCAAAACAAACAGGACTCTTGTGGCACCCTAACGACTAAAGCGTTTTTACTGCGGTATGTGTCGCCTAAAGCACACTTCATCAGTTGTACGAGCCTCCCGGTTGCTAACACGCGGCTCCTCTGAAATTTGCGCTTAATAACCCTGCCTCGAGCACAGCCTCAACACTAATCTCCCATGTGAGAATTTAAATCGCATTAAAGAACGGGGGGACGGGACTGTTGGCACTTATTCGAGTTTGGATATATTTTAAAAGAAATGTTTTAGGCATCTCGTGTTTAACAATAAATTATTTCATTACACAGCCATTTTCACAGGGAAAATGCTTGGGGGAGGGGGGTTCCTTCTCAGTAAAGACAGACATCCTGAATTGCTTTATCCAAACTTACCCCAGACTGGAAAAAAGTAAAAGCCGAGTCTATATGGATCCTCTAGTTTTTTTCACCAAACTTCCCCAAATCCAGTATCAAATCACATGGCAAAGCCATGACCACATACTGAATCTTGAAACACTGATCCAGTACTTTGCAGACCAACAGTGGCACAAAAGCATGGATCTGAGGCATGGATCCTCATGAGTTCGTATGATTTTTACATGGAAACAAACACTTTCCAGGCTATCGCAACATTATGTACAATCTTTTAATTAAAGCCCCATCTTTCTCCTGAGTGTTAAGACCACCCAAGAGAGGAAATATAAACAAATTAAACACATAAACACTCCCCAAGAGACATGAAATCAGCCAGCCAAACACAAGTGATGCCCAACAGTCAGTGGAACCATACCCCCTCCCTTCTAGAACCCCATTAGGCAACGTTGACTGCTCTCCTGAAGCCTCTGGATCAAGGGGGCAGCCTGCCTCATCTCCTCTAGGAAGCTATTCCAGAAGATGGGTGTGGCTACTGGGAATACTTCTGAAAAGGCAACGAGGAAGGGAAAGGAAGGCATTGCTGTATGCAAAAATGAATCATTCAGAAGGCCTTTTTTTGCACAAATAATAGAGCTGTACTGTAATGAACACCTCATAGAACTAACACCAAAAAACGATGTCCTCATCATCATAGGGGACTGGAATGCTAAAGTAGGAAGTCAAAAGGTAACCAGAATAACAGACAAGTTTGGCCTTGGAGAACAAAATGAAGCAGGGCAAAGGCTGACAGAGTTTTGCCAAGAGAACACGCTGGTCATAGCGAACACCCTTTTCCAACAACCTAAGAGGCGACTCTACACATGGACATCACCAGATGGGCAACACCGAAATCAGATTGACTATATAATTTGCAGTCAAAGATGGAGAAGCTCTATCCAGTCAGTAAAAACAAGACCTGGAGCTGACTGTGGCTCAGATCATGAGCTACTCATTGCAAAATTCAGACTTAAACTGAAGAAAATCGGGAAAACCACGAGGCCATTCAGGTTTGACCTAGATCGCATCCCTGATGAATATACAGTAGAGGTGAAGAATAGATTCAAGGGTCTGGATTTGATAGATAGAGTGCCTGAAGAACTATGGACAGAGGTTCGTGACATCGTACAGGAGGCAGCAATCACCACCATACCAAAGAAAAAGAAATGCAAGAAAGCAAAATGGCTTTCTGATGAGGCTTTACAAATAGCAGAGGAAAGAAGGAAAGCGAAAGGCAAAGGCGAAAAGGAAAGATTTACCCAACTGAACGCAGATTTCCAGAGAACAGCAAGGAGAGATAAGGAGGCCTTCCTGAATGAACAGTGCAAAGTAATAGAAGAAAACAATAGAATGGGAAGGACTAGAGATCTCTTCAAGAAAATTGGAGAAATCAAGGGAGCGTTCCATGCAAAGCTGGCCATGATAAAGGACAAAAACGGTAGGGACCTAACAGAAGCAGAAGAGATTAGGAAAAGATGGCAAGAATACACAGAAGAACTATACAAGAAAGACCTCGATGTCCTTGACAACCACGACGGTATAATCACTGACCTCGAGCCAGACATCCTGGAATGTGAAGTTAAATGGGCCTTAGAAAGCATTGCTAACAACAAAGCTAGTGGAGGTGATGGTATTCCAGCTGAGCTATTCAAAGTCTTAGAAGATGATGCTGTTAAAGTGCTGCACTCCATTTGCCAGCAAATTTGGAAAACGCAACAGTGGCCACAGGATTGGAATTTTTTTTTTAACGTTCACTTTAGAGCGCTATAGCACTATAACAGAACACTCCAGGCATTCAATTGGGGTTGATATACTGCTATTCTGTTATAGCGCTATAACGCTATAAAGCAAACGCCCCCCCCAAAAAAAAGCTGGAGATCGCCTGCACGGGCAAAAAATGGCGGAAAAAAGTGCATCGGAACCAGGAGAGGAAACTGAAGACTACTTGGAAGGCTAGACCTGTCACCTGTCTAGCCTCAGATGGCAGAGGGTCTAAAGATGACCAGACAAACAACATTTTGGCCACAGCATTCTGTACCAGTTGTAGCTTCTGGACATTGTTCACGGCCAGCCTCATGTAGAGTGCATTGCAGTAGTCTCATCTAGATGTTACCAAGGCACACGGTGGTAAGATCTATTATTATAAATATATTTAATGCATTAATTTGATGTGGAAAGATCATACTTGGAGGCGTCCCAAAATGATTGGATCTGTCGGTATTTTAGGGCACAGTTTTTTATTTAATAGCATTTATTGTAATTACCACATCTTAGCTAAATTACTTCTTATTCAAGAAACATTAGCAATCATTTTTCCAATACCACTCCCAAGGCTGTTTGGCAAGAGGTGACCTAAATGACCCCTTCTGTTGCAGTCATTCCATACTGCTAACTCTCTAAAGCATACAGTCTCTTCTGAAAAGAACATTCTGAGGGGGGTTTTAGCATGGACCATCTATCCTGTGTTTCCCGTTGAGATCATTTCTTATCCTTCAGAAGCAAGGAATCCTGGCATTTGATAGATGTAAGTGAGTACACTTTCCTTACTTCCATAAGCCCTCTTTTGAGGTACTGCCAGCCCTGGGTTGGGAAATTCTTCGAGATTTGGAGGTAGATCCTGTGGTGTCAGCTATGCTGCCATGGGGGTTGGGGAGTTCACTGTGTCTTGGTAATTGCTATTGCAGTCCTATCTCTGCTGTTCTGCCTGTGCCGCAATGCTTCTCTCTACAGATGTGCAGGAGGATGTTGTGTTGGAGGTTGTATTGTCTGGAAGTCTCCTATGTACTGTGAGATACTACTGCTTCCCAGCTTTCGCCACCTAACGGTTTCCTAGCTGGTCCCGCGCGCGGGAGGGTAGCTAATTGGCCCATGCCATGGGGGGGGGGTGCATACGAATGCCCTATATCCTATTATGCTCAATGGGTTGCCGCCGTTCTTAACAGTGCCTGTGTTACTGCATCTATAGCTTTGCAATAAAAGTATACCCGTTCCTGAATGTGTGTACTTCGTTGTAAACTGTGGGTTCTGACATATGGAAGGATTTCAGCAGGGGTATAATGCCACAGAGTCCATCTTCCAAAACAGCCATTTTCTCCAGGGGAACTGATCTCTGTCATCCGGGGATCAGTTTTAATTCTGGGAGATCTCCAGGGCCCCCCCCCCAGAGTTTAGCAACCATATGTATCAGATTAAAATTAATGTGTAAGACCTTTCAAACAACCCAGGCTCATTTTTAAAAACTGGAAAAATTCTTCTTTTATCCCACAACTCTATATTGTATACCTGACTAAGAATCTTGACTTCAGTACTGTCTTTGTTACAAGATGAGATGAGACCTAGACAGAAGGTATCTGGATCATATCTTGAAATATTTATCAAAGCTATGTTCCATATTCATCTGGTTTGAGATTAGGAATCTTTAATCAAATCTCTGCACTGACTTGGAAATACACTTATATTCTATTTTGTATTGTTAGATAGGACTACATGGGACAGAAAAAGTAGTCTGGAAAGAGTTCAAAGGATGTGATTTGTGCATTGTCTGACATATTCGTAATTTCAACAAGGAGAGACTGGCGAACATTAACTGTGAAGCTCTCCCATCAGCAGACACTGATGTATACAGTTGTCGAATAGGGCAGACTCATTTTTCATCAAAAATACAGTTCCGCCAGTTCGCATTTTGCCCAAAATACATCACAATCAATCTCTGAAACCTAAAGGAGTGGCTTAATGGTGTTATGCCAATAAAGGTTTGTTGTCTGTGTTGTGTGTGTATTTAATGGTCAGAATTTGGGATTGAAACACCTAGACTTTCTGGAGCCTTAGGTCTTTCATAGATCACACTCATCTTTTAATGCAATGCCTATATGTTATCATGTAATATACTATCGTGGTTATGATCAGACTATTTCTGCTATGGTTACTGCACAAGCACTAGAGTATTCTTGTGGCTCCCAAATGTTGTAAAAAAGGGCCTGATAATTTACGCACAGTGCATAAGGTTGCCAGGTCCATCTCCGTCCACAGTGGGGGACTTTGGGGGGCATTGTGTCCCCAATGTCACATTGGGGACAGCCGAGTTCTGTGGGAACAGCCCTGTGGGGACAGTCCCGCCCACCCAATCTCGGAGGGGCATTGCCACTCAGAGATCGGGTGAGCAGGACATTTCCTGCCAGCTGCCTGCACTGAAAGGGGCTCCCTTTAAGTGCAGGCAGCCGGAGGGCCTTGCGCGCCCAATCTCCGTTTGGAGATCGGCCACGGGGC